GTCCAAGGAAGACGGAGAAAGTTGAACTTCTTGTGTGTACCCTCTACTCGGAATTGTAGGGCATATTAGCTATGGGATACGTATTTATGTCTTTATATGTTATTGTGTCTTGTAAAACACTGTAGTTATTTTTTAAGAAAAGTATATTCTTCCTGAAAATGTTGAATGATTTATAATATCTATTGATTGTACATTTTTATTTTCTGTATTTTCTTTAGATGAGTAGAAGAATTGATGGGTATTATTGAGGTCAAGGAATAGCAGATATCACTTGGTTGCCATTTTTATTGCATACTTTTTGCTGATGAAGATGAATTGCAGTTTAAACTTTGATAGTAAGAAAGTTCAGTTCGTTTTGCTCGTACATTCTTCGTGGGGTTGTTTTGCTGTTGTTGTTGGGGTAAAAAGTTTTGTTTTTTGGTTAAACAAGTTTTGGATAAAATTGTCGCAAATGCATGTTTTATTGGATCCTAAGCTGAACTTGGATCATGTACAATTTACACCGCAAAAAATTGGATGGCAACGTAATTTTGTACTTTAAAAATGAAAAAAATTTTAATTTACATTAACTTTAATCACTAGTTGTAGATGTTTCTCTGATATTCCCCTTTCTTAATCCCTAAAATGCAAAGAAATATTTTGTTGTGTAGAGAAGAGTAAGAAATGCAATAAATGTGTCAAAGGGTCGTTGCAATTACAGACCCTCCCCAGAGAGGCCCCTCAACTTTGCCATCTAGGGTAGGGGCGTGGCATTCGCCCACTCCCTCCAGTGACTTACAAACTTAAACTAAATTAAAGTCAAGACGAAAAAGCCAAGAAAGGGTTAAGTGGGAAGGGGGAGCCAGAAAGTTTTGAGTCTGGAAAACAAAGAGCAAAGAAGAAGTTCAAATTACAAAATGCAACAAAGAAGTCGCCGAGGGAGCAAAAACCTGGAACGGGATGACAAGAATTTGCTAAATAAAAGTGAAACTTGTAAGAAATTAAAAGACAAAATAAAATTAAAAGGAAACTGCAGCCCCAAAACGTCAAATTTGTGGGCGAGACAAAAAGAGAGCAGGAGAACAGAAAGAGCAAAACAATGTATTGGCAACGGGAATTACAGTATTACACCTGGGGAAAAAAAGTTCACTCAAGTTATTAGCAATGTTAATTATTCTTTTATTGATTAACCTTAATTTTTTGTTGAAGGTAACAATATCTTTAACAGAAGTCTGCAACCAACCCCACTTTATTTAGCTTGCATAAAGACTTTCTTCCACCTTACGATTTCTCCACGTCAGCCCAAATTTCTAATTACGTCAAAAAAAAAACAAATCTTCCATTATCCATTTGTCTGGAGTCCGCCTCCTTAAATGCCACGTCCTGTTATCCGATCCCATCCTACCTTTTTCTCCTTGGCTAATATATTTCATGTACACTCCCACATATACAGTTGCGGTCAAATCTCTAGTATTTTTCTATAAATAAAAATTAAAATATTTATTTTTCTAAAAATCTGAAAGCTTAAAAGATATATATGTTTTACATCTAACAAGATCTTTCAATGTTTCATTATCCCGCTTGTAAGTGAACACTAGTTTTCGGCTGACAACTGTAAAAGTAACGAGACAGAAACCGTTTAATCATCAGGTGCGGTAGAGGTCCTTGTCCAAGTGTTTGCTCATCGCGTTTCAGCTGACCCAATTCCATCTGAAAAAGCTGAAATCGCTTATTTACACAAGCAAATGGCCATTAGGTTAATACTATTTGAGGTTTACTCGGCCAGAAAATCGCCAAGGCAAACACGGCAGGCTCACTCGGGCCAAAGTCAAAGTTGTCTATGAATTAGCATTAAACTCCATTTGGGGATGAAAGACAAATTGCAGCGGATCACATTGCACATAATTAAGCTTAACAGACACATACTCATTCTAATATCGAGTCCTTTCAGGTATTCTAAACGTTCTGGAATTTTGTGTGTTAACTAAGTATAATTATACCCGTTACTCGTAGAGTAAAAGGGTATACTAGATTCGTCGGAAAGTATGTAACAGGCAGAAGGAAGCGTTTCCGACCCCATAAAGTATATATATTCTTGATCAGGATCACTAGCCGAGTCGATCTAGCCATGTCCGTCTGTCCGTCTGTCCGTCTGTCCGTCTGTCCGTATGAACGCTGAGATCTCGGAAACTATGAGAGTTACAATACTGGGATTAGGCACGCAGATTCCTGAGATTCCTGCGCAGCGCAAGTTTGTTTCAGTAGAGTGCCACGCCCACTCTAACGCCCACAAACCGCCCAAAACTGTGGCTCCTACAGTTTTGATGCTAGATAGAAAATTTTAACTGAAATGTAATGTTCTCATCAATACCTATCGATTGACCCAAAAAAAAATTTGCCACGCCCACTTTAACGCCCACAAACCGCAAAACCCTGTGACGCCCACAATTTTCATGCTAGATAAAAAATTTTAACTGAAATGTATTGGTCTCGTCAATACCTATCGATTGATCCAAAAAAAAATTTGCCACGCCCACTTTAACGCCCACAAACCGCAAAACCCTGTGACGCCCACAATTTTCATGCTAGATAAAAAATTTTAACTGAAATGTATTGGTCTCGTCAATACCTATCGATTGATCCAAAAAAAAATTTGCCACGCCCACTCTAACGCCCATAACGCTTAAATCTGTATACCGCCGGTAGGTGGCGCATTTTAATCTCGCTTTGCTGCTTGCATATCTCCATTTAGCTGAGTAACGGGTATCTGATAGTCGAGGTACTCGACTATAGCGTTCTCCCTTGTTTTTATTTGTTACTTTCTAAAAATGAAATTTAATGGTATTTTCTTATTGTTCCATACATATTTGTTCCCGTTACTCGTAGATTAAAAGGGTATACTATTTTCGGCGGAAAGTTGTTATAAAGTATATATGTGTATATATTTATGATCAGGATCACTAGACAAGTCCAACTAGCCATGTCCGTTATCCTATATAATAGCTAGAAAGTTTGGGTTAAGCACGTATGTTCTAGAGATTCATGCGCAGCGCAAGCAGGGTGCAACGCCCACACCCACTACCACCCCCGTGGTAATTCCGACCGTAAGGCATGGTAGTGGGAGTTTCATGGCGTGAAGCAGTTGCAGTCTCGGGAGTAGGAAATTTGTTCTTTATAATTGGTATTACGGATCATTTTCGATATAAGACCATATTAGAAATATAATATAATTTGAAAGCATCTTTGCACAAATTATGCCTCGGTACTAGCTAGATCTTTCCAACATGAAATTGTGGTTGTCGTATAATAATAACATTAAAAACAAGACTGCATGATTTATTTCCTGTAAAAGCTATAGGAGTTGGTAATATCAAAGAAAAAGGTGTGTATGTACACTTTTGTCTGCCATTGTACCTCCCTTTCTCGCACAGGTCTACTAGTCTATAGTATTGAATAATATCACCTTTCCTGCTCTTTCCCACCTTCGAATAAGTCCTCTCTCGACTTGTGATCCTCTCCTTATCGCTTAATCTTTTGACCTTGGGGCCAGAACTCTCGCTGGTTCCTCCTCCCACGCTCTCGCTGGAATCCACTGGAATCCAGTCTCATTACAATCGCCACCTCGATTTCTCGTTCATTTGTCCATCGACGATTGCCCGGAAAGGAAGTGCGAGGAAGAAGAAGAGGCAGAAGAAGCGAAGGCGCTGCGATTATATATTTAATATATAGCTTTTTTAATTAGTCACGTTGAGTTCCGAGTGCCGTGTTAAGTGGAAGTATTTATTTAGGCCCTTAATTTAATCAATCCGACCTCGAGTGTCCGTGTGCGTTAACAGTAAACGTGAAGCGTATTGGTATTGGTAATGGTCATTGGCTGCCGCTAAATTAAAAGTTTCAAGTTTTCCCGTTCTTTATTCGCGTCGACAGTGTAAAAATTAAATTGAGATCGCAAATATGTTCAGCAGTCGCGCTTCGTTTTTGGCCAATCGCCGCATGATATTCGATTTTTCTGAAAAGAACAACGATATCTACCTGGAGTAAGTGTGTGGGAAAGTAACTGTTAAAAATACAGTGGGCACTTGTTAGAGAGGATCTTGTCTTGGAAATATATAAGAGATTTATTTCGTTTAATATTCCTATATCTAAGTAGAAATAATAAATTACTTTTAATTGCGAAATCTTTAAATATTGGATGGGGAGCTAGCTTTAAAAGATACAGTGGGCACTTATTAGGGAGGATCTAGTCTTACGAAATTTTTTTTTTAACAAAATAAATTAGGAGGGATTTGTTTCGATTAATATTCCCATATCTAAGTATAAATATTAAATTATTTATAATAACGAAATCCATACATTTTTGTTGGGAGGCTAACTGTAACTGATACAGTGGGCACTTATTGGAGAGGATCTTGACTTACCAAATTTTTATTTGTAAAACGAAATAAATAAAAAGATATTTATTTCGTTTCAGATTTATACATCTAAGTAGAAATAATAAAATATTTATAATCATGAAATCCTCAAATAGTGGTTGGGAGCTAATTGTAATAGATACAGTGGGCACTTATTAGAGATGATCCTGTGTAACGAAATTTTTTTTCTAAATGAATTATATAAGAAAATATTTATTATGTTCAATATTCTTATATTTTATAAAATAAGCAAATATAATGAATTACTTATAAACATTAGATCCCCCTAATATTGAATTGGCTTCACTATATATGACTGGAATTTATATTTCAGGTAGCTATTTGATAAAAACGATTAAATTAAAACAATTTACATTCTTAAATTATTACATTTGGTCTGTACAACAATTAAAAAAAAAATACGACTCAAAAATTACATAAAGAAAAGAAAATATAAAAGCTGTTTTAATAATTTTTTAAATATAAGGAATTTATGATAAAAACACAACAACCTTGTTCCTGTTTGCTTGATTTTTCCAATTCATATTTCTCCTTAAGGCTTAATCACTGTACTTATCCTTCCATTATCCTCCAATCTTTCATTTGCAGTGCTTTTGGTATGAGCGATAAGAGCAGCAGTGCAACAAATAGCCTGCCAAACAGTCCCATACACAGCAACAACAACAACCCGTCGCTCTTGAACAACAACAACAGCGGCAGCAACAACAGCAATCCGAGCTTGGGTTGCCCCAGCAACAACAACGCGCTGGTTCCCGTGGGCACCAACGGTATAATGTCCGCCGCCGGATTGGTGAGCAACAACAACAACAACCCGTGCAGCGCCAACCGAAATGTGGTTGCACTAATGGAGGACGACCCCTGCTTCCGGTTGGACACGGACGCCACGGTGACCTACGGCGAGAAGGAGCCGGATCCGGACAACATCAAGATGTTCGTCGGCCAGGTGCCCAAGTCGATGGACGAGTCGCAGCTGCGCGAAATGTTCGAGGAGTACGGAGCGGTGCACTCGATCAACGTTCTGAGGGACAAGGCCACCGGAATTAGCAAGGGTAAGTCTATTGTAGAATCTTACGAATATTATTTTTTACCTTAATATCTGGGGTGAATTCTCTTTTGAACTTGGAATTAGCCATAGTAAAACTGAGTACTATACGAATTTAAGCAGAAGGTCTTATTGGAATAAAATTACAAGTTATTTTGTTTTGAATTAGCATAAAACCAATCTTTCAAAGTAAAAATTATATTAAAAATGTACTGGCCCAAACTTAAATATAATTTTAAAAATCTCAAAGATAATACCTAATTAAATGTTAAATAACTATAGTTTAAGAGAAAATACCTTAAGACTGAAAGAAACTATCGGAATGCCAACCACATACCAAATTTAAACCCATTTGAGGAAGTATTATGGTCAGAACAGCGTTTAAAGTTTGCCTTTTCTAATATTATTATAGTATAAATATATAGTATATAGTATATTATAATATTATTAGTAGTTTGTTGTTAGTTTGTAAGAACTAAAGGTAATGACTCAACAAAAACGTTCTTAGTCGTAATATTATAATTCTCAAGCTCTCCCTAATCGTTCGTATTCTCGACAGACTACTGTACGACCTCTCTCCCATTATTCATAGCTTTTGTCTGGCTGATAAATTACACCCGAATTTGTTGCGGTAAATAGCCAAAAGCTCCGCCAAAACTTCATCTTCCCCCCAATGGAAATGAGAGAAGTACGGACAAAATTAATATGAGATATTGGTCTAGCCAGAACACAAATACACGAACGTCGTACATCCAGTGCACACACATATTTCTATGTCTCCTTCTCTCCCTTTTAATTGCATTCACTTGCAATTGCCATTTCATTTCATCAGCAAATTGCTTTTTGTTCGCTATTTGTGTTTGAGCTGAAATTTCAATAGCCTTGAGCTTTGCTAATGGATATTGGGGCCCCAAATCGGGGAGGGGATCTGTTGAATTAAATAATACAATTCAAAGTATTAATTTGCCTTTATTTAAGAGTTTATGGATTGCACAAAGCATTTATTGAATTGACTTAAATTCCCGATAAATTTAAATTTAGTTGAAAATTTCATGAAAAATAAAAAACTTTTTTAAATGTAAAAATGATTTTGACCAGGGACCGTAATGATTGTTAGTTTTAACAAAAAATCATTTTCAAATGGTTTTGAGACTTATTTATTAAACCAAAAATAATGGATAATTTTTTGCGTTTTATATAAATATCTAGAAATAGTGTTTTCTCTATGAGTTTTATTTTCCGCTTGAAAAATAACGCTTACTTTTTCTTTATGTTTTCTGATTAAAAAAAAAGCAATTTTTTTAAAGATTTTAATAAAACTAAAAAAAAAAGATTATCCTTCAAGTTTTAAATAAAATTTGAAAAGATAAAAATTATACCGGATATTGAAATAAGAATGTTCAGGTATAATTAGTTTTTTAGGATTATTCTTCGACTATGATTCTTATTATTTTAAAAAACCACGGTTCCTGATTTTGGAAATTATTTAATTTTGATAGTTGATTTAACTAGAGAAATTTGTAGATGTAACCATATATAAAAACAAAATGTTTCGTCATGATGGAATAATGTTTTTAAGTTTCTTGTTCATAAGTAATTTTTTTTACTAGATCTTTTTTGTTCTTGATAGTATTAATTAAATTAAAATTTAAAACATCAGGGACAAGTTTAACATTCAAGTTTTTCATCCCTTCGTCCATCAAATGTAGCTAACATTTCCTGATGAAGGCAAAATAATAATTTAATAAATAGAAATATTCAAAGTTTCAGACAAACAGGTATTGTTTTTGTACATTTTCCGCCTGTCATTGGGCTTTCACTGCATTTGAAATCTTTTCGGATGAAGATAAAACTCTTCGTATCTTCCGCCCTTAACTCCCCTTTGATTATTCCAATATATTCATTGTTCTGTTCATTTCTCCGCCTCTTTTTCTGAGGCCTTTCAGCTGCAGTCAAGTTTCCATTTTTATTGATGTGCTCTTTTCCCCCCATTCATTCATAACGACATTTCCACTTCTAATCTTTTCCATTTCCAATTGCCATTTTGCTCCGATTTTTCTATTCATATTTCTGTGAGAGATTTCATTCTTGTCTCGTTGCCATTGTGTATTTGTATTTGTATATTTTGTATTTCGAAAACGTTTTGTTTATTTTCCGTCATTGTTATTCCGTATCTAACTGTCTATTTAGCTTTTCCAGCTGTATTTTTCCTTTTTCCCGTATTCCGACTGCCGCTGACAGGTTCGTCCTTATTTTTCTGAAAGTGGGCGTGGCATTTTAGCACTGGTCAGTGGCGTCCGAAAAAAGGGGCGTGGCAGGATGGGGATATCTGAGTGGGACAAAACAGTTTTAGAAGCACTTAAGTGGCGCGTTGTGTTGATGATTTATGACAAGCAACGAAAAGAAGTCACAGCATTTTCCTTTTCCATTTCCACTCCCCAAGTGCTCATGTGAGAATGTTCGCTTTTATTGCCATTATTTTTGTAGCCGGCAAAAGAGCTGAGAGACTTGTGCAAGTCACAAACACAAAATCGACACAAATTGCATTTCAAAGTTATTATTGATGTCAGCGCAAAGTAGAAAAAAGTAGGCGGTACGCTTTTTCCGGGGGCGTGTCAGTGACCTACAACGAATCGTAAGAAAAAATAAAGTAAAAACGAATTTTCTTGTTACTTGGTGACAAGATATATTCAATATTATATGGGGCTGCTCGATAAGATATATATTGAATATAAATATTTTATACATTAAATACAACTCAGTTTTATAATAATTGGTAAAAATACCAGTCTAAGAACTCCATTTACTGGTTATTTTTCCATAATGGATAAAAAATAATCCACTATAGGCAGACAGCGCTATCTCCAAACTTTCCTTTAGTGTACTACTTTTCATTTAGACTTTTTTTCGGCCCTTGCATGATGCATTTTTGTTTGGCCGCCTTTTTCTCGGCTTAAGCCAGCCAAACTTCCTGCTAACAACATTTCCATTTAGATGGCAAAATGTAACCCAGTTTTGGCTACCAGTTGGCTAAAGGACCTCATCCATATCCTTAGACTTGTGCAACTTTTTTTTGCTGCTGCTGGCTTTTGTCTGTTGCATTTTTCCATAGTTTTTTTTAGTTGCTGTCTCGCTTTTTCCTTTAAACCAAACAAAATGCAAAATGACACTTTTAAGTGCGATGGTTGACCTCTGAACCAGAAAGTCGTAAATAACTAAAAATACCAACAGAAGCAAAGAGAGTATCAACCAAAAAATTTCCTTTTCGTTTCGGCCAAGTATTTCTGGGCTAATGCTTCTCCTTCTTCTGGCTCCCCGAAATTGTTATCCTTTTTGGGGCACTAAATTTCGTTAGCGGGCAGTTTTTCCTCCCGTTTTCCCCCTAACTTTTCCGCCTCTTTTGGATTTTCTATGTTGTTGTGGGTGTTGCGGTTTTATGGTTGCCGTTTTTGTTGCACTGCGGCCAGCAGATAAAGGTGAGAGGTGTGAAGGTTAAGGGGGCTGTGGGTGGCGGACGGTGGAAAGGTGGAAACCAGAGCGACGCAAGGTTAAGCGCTCGGGGTCATAATTTATTAGCGCTTGCGGTTCGGCGATAGTACGGGGAGTATTTTCGGAATACGGGATAAATGGGCGTTATGGGGTCAGGGGTCCCGGGCGGATGGAACCGAAGCATAGCGAGAAGGATTTTCTGCGGTCCCGTTTCGGATTGTTTCAGGTGAGAAAAGGTAGGAACAGGTAGCTTTTAATTCGATATTGAGTGAACTGCAGAGGGGTTGGGAAGGGACCGAGGTGAACTGTAAAATGTTTTGTGGCCGTTTTGGTTTGGCAGTTTCAAGTTTTCCGCGGCTTTTGTGGCCAACGAAACGCAGCTAACTATGATAAAATTAAGATTTCTCTGGTGGAAATGTCGCTACAAGTTAAAGGAAAATGAAAATTAATTGCTTTTCAGCTCAGTGCTTCAAATGGTTTATATTTAAAAAGAAATTGAACAGTACACAGAGAAAATTCTGACGTTCTAATCTGAGTTGAAAATGTTCTTAAAAATAGAACGACATTTTTAAGTTGAAAATGTTTTTATTTTGCTCCAATCAAGTTGAATTGGCGGTATTTAAGTAAATTGTATGTACAAATAAACTATTAGTTCAGTCCTTAGTGTATACTTATCAAAAAGTTGTTAAATAAACTCAATTTAACTTTTCTCTTCTCACCATTTCGTTCTTATATTGATACCAAAATGTACTTACACGGTTTTTAAGAACGAATGTTCTCAATTCAAGAACAATGTTCTCAATTCAAGAATAATGTGATCAATTCAAGAACAATGTTCTTAGATAGTTTTCTCTGTGTATAAGTAGGTTAATAGGGCACGTACAAATGGTTCCTTAATTCTAAGAAAAGGGTTTACAAATCAAAGAACTCCGCTGAATAAAGTATTCTATGAACAACGTATTCAGCTTCTTAACTCTAAAATGTAATGAAATTTACAATCTGTAATTGAAATGGTGCACTGAATGAATCCATGGACAGAAATTTATATATTTCAGTTCTAACTTGCTTTAATCAACGTAATTAAATTGAAAACATTTAAAACCAACTTACTTGTGATAATCTAAATCATTCTTTTTTATCCACCTAAGCTTCTGCGGATAAACCACCCCAACCATATTCAATTGTGAACTTTCTCCACCCCAAAACAAGACCATATGTCACAGTTCCCCATTAAGACAGCCACGCCCATCGCCCCCCTCCCCCGACGCCCACTTTTTTAGTCGAGCCTGTGATTTATGACCTCCGCCTTATAAAAAACTAACTCGCTGACCAAACCAGAAAACGAGAAACTGAGAAACGCAGATGAGAATCCTCCCGAAAACCAAGGAAAAGAAATAATATAATTCACACAGAGAGTAAGTTAGAAATCGGGGTTAAGTGGGGTTTTCGTTGGGGAGGAGTTTAGGGGAAACCCCGGTCAGTTAGCAGATTTCTTTGGCTGTTTGCTGCCTTCGTCCCCGTTTTCGTTATCTTTCGGCTGCCTTGAGAACTTCATTTTGAAAAGCTTTTCCCTACTCTAAGACCAGCTGTCCAATGTCTCCCCGGAAAAAGGAAAAGTAACGCACTTATCTAACGCCTTCATCGGCGGTTTTTTTTTTTTTTTTTCCTTCTCCCAGAAACTTTGTGCTCTTGACATTTTTATTTAGCTGCAGCACTGAGCGTGAAAAATGCATAAAATTTCACTTAATTTTATTCCGCACCCCTTGCATTTTCGGGGCGCAAAAGGAAAAGGCGAATTTCAATTTCAAATGCAGCCTCTGAGTAAGGAAGTAAATTTCGCACAGTTTGAGTTTGATTTTTTTTGTTAAATTGGATTTTGGTCATGACTTTTAGCCGCCACTGAAGCATTGCTAAGCATTTGTCACACGGTTCAGGTAAGAGGCTTTTTAATGTCGCTAGTTGGGTTTTGATTTACATTGAAAGTATTTAGACATTTGCAATTACAAAATTGTTTTATTTTTAGTATTTAAAAATTTGGATAGATTATGGAACTAAAAAGAGTGCGTTACTGTAATATGCCATTTTAATGTTTAGAAAATGTCTATGTTCCTTAAGAAATTAGACCCAGGCTTAAAAATCATCAGTGATTTTGGTTTGTTTAAGTTTCATCTATGATCCTGTGCAGTATTCTTGTACTTTGTGTTCCTTTATTTGGAGTCAGAGTCAGTAAATCTGTGGGTGGCAATGTTTAAAGACATTGATTTATTTAACTTCGATTAATTCGTTTCGTTGCTCGCCTCGTCCACAAACGTGTGTCCAAGGGTTTGAACTTTATGGGTGAGTGGGCGGATATATACATAGATATATGCCAGGATATATATGCGAGTGTATCTTTTTGGCCGGACTTTGGCACGTCTTGTCTGGCGGCTCTCGATTTCATCTTCCTCCCACTTGCCGGGATTAAGTTCTTTTTGTCCAAAAACGTGACTGGGTGTCGTTTTCAGCTTTATTCCTGCTGCTTTTCCTCCGATTTTCCTTGGCTTCTCCCTACTTTTCCGATTTGGCCATACTTGTTTTTTATCGCTTTGTTCTATTTGGTTTTGTGTGTCTTGGGTTTGATTCTAACTGCAGTTGACATGCACATAATGGGAATTGTGTGAGATTTTTCTTCGTTTTCTGCGTTGTTTTGATGCAGTTCCGTTGCCTCCTCCTTCGTTATCCTTCGATTGCTTTCCTTATCTATGGTCCCCGATCCCCCAATACAGTATCCTTGCCCGCCGACTATGCTTTATTGCATTCCAAATGGTTTCGATTTCCCATCATTTGTTACATTTAACGCTAGTTTAATTTTAAGTGATATTTAATCTGCGCTTGCAAAATGAAATCGGAGTGAATTTTACATCGAAAGTTTCTTGTTGCTTTCTTCGGTATTATGTAAAACAAGATATTTTTACGGTGGAACAATAGAAGAGTGAAAGGAGCTTTGTTCAGGATATAGTAATTTAAATTGCAAGTAAGAATGTAACTTACACGGACTTGTTTTCAAAGTTTTAAGTTGCCTTTTAGATTTAAATTACTTAGCTTCGTATTTGGCGCAAGTTTGATATCCAAATGTGTCGCGCTGAGATTGAAGTTGGGATTGCATGCAAATTCTACACTGATATAAAAAACGTTCTAGAGCCAAGGATTTCATGTTCAAGTTAAATATATCATTGCTTGGTTTTTCGCCCGTTGCGGTCGGTAACAATTATAATTAATTTAAAGATTTTAAATTTTAAATATAGTAAGAAATTATTTTTTTGTATTGACGTGACTGACATTAAAACTTATATTTTCTACCTTGTTTCCAAAATTTTCAAATTACTTCACGCATTTTAATAAGTTTTGTATTGAACGTTTTGTTTTTGTATTTGGTTCAAATATTTAATACCAAATTTTGAATTCTTTATCCAGATATTTTATTGAGTGCTGCTTGCATCTCCATCTCCCTTGCGCTCCCTTTAGAGGAAAAAAGGGTATCTGCGTTGTTTCCTTTTTTTTCAAAGGGTAAAATTCATTTAAAGCATTTAAGTATTAATTAAAAAAGGCAGGAAACTACATAGAGAAAACTATCTAAGAACATTGTTCTTGCATTGAGAACATTGTTCTTTAATTGAGAATATTGTTCTTGAATTGAGAACATTTGTTCTTAAAACCCGTGTAAGTACATTTTGGTATCAATATAAGAACGAAATGGTGAGAAGAGAAAAGTTAAATTGAGTTTATTTAACAACTTTTTGATAAGTATACACTAAGGACTGAACTAATAGTTTATTTGTACATACAATATACTTAAATACCGCCAATTCAACTTGATTTGAGCAAAATAAAAACATTTTAAACTTAAAAATGTCGTTCTATTTTAAGAACATTTTCAACTCAGATGAGGTCAGAATTTTCTTTGTGTATGTTTTCTCTGGCATGCATGGTTCGTAATACCAAATTTATTTCACTTCAATGTATTTTATTATTAATATATTTATTGAAAGAAAGCATACATGTTAAAGTCTTTTATAAAGCCTGAAATGGCACAGGATTTATTCTTTTATTTTTGACTTAAAGATATTTTGGAAACGGGAAAAAGTGCAGATCTCATAATTCACTCATACGTCGGATGTGGCGACGACTCAGTCTAACCTCTCTGCCGGATATTTAACGGCAGAAAAAAGAACCCCGAAACGAGAAATGAAAATATTTGCAAATATGTGAAAAATGCAGAAAAATATTGGTGGTGACACGGCAAAAAAGGCGACAGATTGAATTACCTGTGTGGGCTAAGTGGGGCGGGAACTCAGCCTGGTGCCACGCCCCTTTCCCCCACACCGGCTGGGGGCGACCAACCAAAATGGCCACCACTAAATGCCGCCGATACGCTGGTGGGTAATTGCATTATGCAACTATTTCATTCCAGTATTAAGTTTTGTTGTAACCATCGCTGCCATCACACACCGCTGAACCTGAGGTTGTGGTAGGCCTTGAATTGGGGCGGAAAAGCGGGGGGAAAATGGGAAATGAAATGGGATGCAGGGAAAACCATAGGTATGTGTGTCTGCAGGAGTCGGAAATGGATTTAACCAACGCTCTGGATGCTAGCGTGTGTGTGTGTAACTTGCCCACAGATTTGGCACATAAAAGAAAGGGAATTTCTGCCACATTCAAAATAGAACCTAAAAAAAAGTATTTCGGTGAAATGGAAATGAAATGCCATGGAAAAAGGGTGAAAAATTAAAGGAAAATAAAAATGTTTTCAGTTGCAATTTAAAGTGACATTTGAAATCTCTGAAAATAATATTGGTAGTTATATAAAAGTCAACGTTAACTTAATACAAATTTGACTAAAATGTGAAGCGTTATGTTCTAGTAATTTTTTAAAAAACATTAAGAGATAGTAAACAAAGTTTAATATAATCTTTACCCGCTATTAAGGGGGTATTTTCCAAAGTATTTACGAGGGACGAATAAGCATTTTAACGCTAATGTCTGACTTTAAGTATCACTTAATATGCTGGCCACACATGCCTTGGACTCGAACCCTCATAAATTCAAACACCTTGGCCACCCTTTTTCAGCCCTAAACCCGGTCCAACCTCTTTGACACCCTCCACCCCTGGAAACTTGCACTCCAATCTCAAACGCGACACATTTGTTGGGCCCATAATGTTTAATTTAGTGCCAGGCTGTCATGTTGTTGCCACATTTCTTTAGTAACGCCCATGGCTTCCTTCCTTTCACACGTTTTCCATTAGGATATTTTTCCCTGGGCCCACCTCTGCTAATAATAATAATTTTCATAATTTCCCAGTGCCACCTTTTTCGACGCTTGCTCGAATATAAACTCCAATTTAACCCTCATGCTAATCTTTTGCTTCTTCCTTTATTTTCCAGGTTGCTGTTTTGTGACGTTTTATACGAGACGCGCCGCCCTGAAAGCCCAGGATGCTTTGCATAATGTTAAGACGCTGAATGGGGTAAGGCATTTTGATTTGTGTAATGATTTTATCAAACTCAACCCTCTAAACTCCATTAAATGTTAAACGGGGCTTTTCCCCATCCTCCAGTAAATCCTATCAAAATTATCCGAATATATAAGAAGTTAATATTAATTATAAGATTTTTAGATCAGCTCCAAAATATTTCAATCGTGTGGAATACCAGTGTAAAAATAAATTGCAGAAATTGTTGTGATTGCTTTTTCAACATTTTTAATTGTTAGATAGTAAAGGTATAAGGACAGTTTAAAACATGGCCATTTTTTAATAATTCTAAGAAATTTAAATTTATTTCAAGTGTAGTAAAGGTCTCTCAATACTTGCATAAGATATTGAGGTAGTCTTCAAGCCTAAATTGGGGCAAAGAAAAAGAAATGAAAACGACATGGCCGTCTTATCCTTTAATTGGAATTTTCGCTGATCCGACACGAACAAGGAAAAACTCTATAAACTTATCATGAAACGCTATCATCCGGTTGACAGGACAACAGCCAGGAGGTTTCGGGATGGGGCGGCAGCATCGCATCATCGTCGTGATTCCTCTCGCCTCCTTCATTATGGCTAACTGACTCGCTGACTGACAGATTGACTGGCGTTTGGACTGACAGAGCCATGACACCGCACAAAAAAGGCAGAATTCTGCGGGACTGAAATAAAATGCATCGCAAGGGGAAATGTTTTTGTAAAGACCTAAAAAAAAAGCGTGGAACGTGAAATTCTTCCTCCTCTATTTTCCAATATAGTTTTTTTCCGTTCCGTACATTTCCCTATAAAATGCAAGTAATTTTAAAAGTTTAGTCTTGTGTCCTGTGGCAGCTTAAAAATAAAGGAGGAATACAAAAAAAGTATCGAAAATTGTTAGCACAAGACACGCGCCAAAAGTTTTTTAGACCCATTTTAGCAAGGGGTATGATGAAATTTCCGATAAATTGAAGAGTTTATTTTTGAGAAAAAGATTTTACATAAAATATAAAAAGGGTATTTTTAATAGAATGGTAATATAAAATGACACTAGGTCGAATAACTTTTTTTTTTTTAACTGAGCCAAAACCAAAAAGTTAGAAAATGATGAGATTGTCAATTTGTATAAATTTTACCTACACTTGAATTATAATGAAACTTCCTATAGAGGATGTTCAAGTGGTCGATCACTATAAAATTTCGGTCTGGCGGGAAGAGAGCAAACCGCAGGCACAAAAATGTCAATTTGCACTTTGGTGCAGAAGCAGCTGAAAAGCGGAAAAGCAAGCGGAGTCCCGGAAAAGTTGTCAGCACAAGTGCAAAGGGAAAAAGATGTTGTGGGACGGGTTGTTCAGCGAGAGGTCAAAAGATAGCGAGCAACGTCAGCAAAAGCGAGCGACATTTGACAATGTTGCTTTTTATTTTTCGGTTCCCAGTTTTTTGTTTTTTTTCGTATACCTTTTTTTTGCATAGCGCCATCAAATAAGCATTGAATATTATTATTATTTGAAAGCCATGTGTTAGCTTCCAAAAAGAGAAGGGAAAGCTTTCTAGGGACAATGCTTATGTCATCACGTTATCGGCTTCAAAAAGGAGCAACTGACATAATTTGCATGTAGCTTCGTGGCTGCAGCTGCGATATTTATTTTAGAAAATTGCTATGGAACGTTTTCGGGCGATGACGGGTTAAAGGGCGAATAACGGGACATGTGCGTGCTGAATTTGTTTCCCATCGTTGTTGCTTCTGCTTTTGGCGGTTCCACTGACAGGCTTTGACGTTAGCTTGTAATTTTCTTGCACAATTTGCGATTGTTATCGAAATGGGGGAAATGCTTTTGCAAATTTATGTTGATTGCTGTGAAAGTCGGTGCGGTATTTTATATTTATTTAATCATTTTTCATCACTAGGTTGGCACAGGGTACTAAAGTGAGAACAAGAATTTAAACAGTATTTTTATAAATTGCGATTTACTTAAATACATTTTTTTCGATAAACAAACAATAAGTTTTATTTGGTGTTCCTTAAGTTTTTAAGAATTTCTATTATGTCATAAAATTCAAAAAGTCAGATTTCCCGTTTACCGTAGTTGCTCATTTTCCAATCGATTTAGTCTCCCTGTTTTCTTTTATCGATAACATATAGCAGGGCTGCATTTCATGAGCCACTTTTCACTGATTAAGTGCAGGCCGGCCGATAATTGCCCCAATAGAAAACAGTCGACTGCGATATTTCAACCAATTACGTGGAGGCAGGGAAAAGCCAACCACGAAAGCTGGTTGACAAAGTGAGGAAAGGACTTCCACCTTCGAAACCGTTTCTCCTGGTGGGGCGTGAATGCCGCCTGTGTTTGACTGGTAATTGCTACTTCCTGCATATAAATAAATTGGCAAAATAAGAAAGGCAAGGAAGCGGCGGTGAAGCAGGTTGACTTGGACTGCAATTTGTAACCAGTCGCGTTGCGTGTATTATTTACGGCCAGAAAAGGTTGGGCAGGAAAGCAGGAAAGGCGGTGGGCGAAGGGGTCGTGGCAAAAAGGGGCGTAGCGCCAAAGGGAAGCACAAGGACATTGCCTTCTAGCGTAGACTGTCGTCGTTTGCTGCCCGTACGCCAATAAATCACGCGCCATTAGCCAAGTTGTAGTTTCACACAGAGGTGATCACGTGACACGCGTGAGAAGTTAATATAAGTATTTACTAACTAAATTTAATAAGATACTTTTTGTTAATTTATAAGTTTTATCGAAGCTGCCACGGAAGTAACTAGGATTTTCAAATACTTTTAAATGTGTGTCCTGAATGCATTATTAAATCTGCTATGAAGGTGCTAAAAAGTATGCAACAATGTTTTTGTGAATGGGAAGGTTCAATTAGACGAAGTTTCTTTTTCACTGCATACATTTAGGCGTTTTAAAAATTGAATGATATCTGTTACTCCTTCAAGGATTTATAAAATTAGCCTTAGCAGATAAACTAGATCTTAATGATAAACTTTTAAGTTTTTTCTTAAGCAAATTTTAAATTTATTTTAAAATTCTAAATTGTTTTATCCCATTTACCCTTTGCTCACGACCCCAACTCTAACCATAGACTACAGCCTGACCTCGTGCCCGTTTCGCGGCCTCTTTGAATACGAAAGGGGGCGTGGCTGGGGGACAGGGGCGAGCTTTAAGCTTGTTTTAATTAGAAGACGTTGTGAGGTGTGTGTGTGCGCGAAAAATTACATTTAAAACACGCTGCAAAGTCTAACGCATATTTTAGGATTTTTGCACATAGCAGAAAACTCTTCCCCTTTTCGCATTTTGCCACCGCCCGTGTCCTTTTTAGCGACCGCTGAATAAATGTGTTTGGCTTTTGTCAAGGATTTAGGCGGAGGCTTTGTTCCGTGTCCTGCGAGGCTCCTTTTTGCCTTTGCCTGCATTCCATTCATTATGCAGCTTAAGTAGATGGTGGCCCTGTGGAAAGGGCGATGGGATTTTCCGCCCGATTCTCCTATTTTCACCGCCCTCTTCCCTGAGCTGCAGTCCCCTGTCGCCGTTTTCGGCGACTGCATTTTGGCCCTAAGCTCTGTAAATTAATCGCGGCCTTCTCTCTTTCGGCCGGAACCACGGAGCATATTGCGCTCTAATATTTCAAATGTGATTAACACGCTCCGGAAAGGGATTTGATTTTAACGGGAGAAAATGGCAGGATTAGGTTAAATATCTAGACTATGAAGATGAGAAGGCAATATTTTTGGACAGCAAGTACTAAACCTAAAGATAAGAAGACTTGTTCCCATGTATACCATCAAGATAGGTATACATGGGAACAAGTCTTCTTATCTTATATATATTTAATAAATAAATAAAAAAAACACCAAATAGAATTCTGCTCGATGCCCACGCTACAAATAGAATTCTGTCATTTAAAACACAATCACTAAGTGCTTTAAATGACAGAATTATATTTGGTGTTTTTTTATTTGTTTATCGGCAATTAGGATAAAACATAATTAAACTAGTTATGTTACAATTTCAAAACTAACCCGAATAATGTATTGATTTATTTCTCATTAAACTTTCTCTTATTTACCTTATTTCAGATGTACCACCCCATTCAAATGAAACCAGCCGATAGCGAGAATCGCAATGGTAAGTTTTTATACCCAATCACAAACAAAAATTTAGCAAATAAAACGGAAAAATAGAAATCGAAAGCTATACACAGAATGCGCTGGATAGACGCGTTGTGGGCATGTGGGTGACTAAAAGTATGCCAAGCCAAAATATTTCCACCGCCAACAAATCAACAAAACTCGGCACAAAGTGACCAGCCAAGCGTGAGAAATATGTGTGCGATGTTCTATCGAAAACCAAACACAAATTGGGGCTTACGGTTGCGAAATGCATGGACTGAAAGGATAGCACAAGTATTTTGATAATGGACTTCTGAAAAATCCTTGTTTTTGATTGGCTAAGGTGCTATAGAAAAGGGGAACTTTACGAAAGAATTGGTTTAATATTCAAATATTATACAACTTTCGATCTTAAACACACATTTTTGAAAACATTGGATATTAGGTTTTAAAAATTATCCCATTTTGAAAATTATATTAAATTTCGGACTCTTGCAACCTAAATGTATTTATAGAAACTGTATAAGATAGTTAACTTTATAAGTATTCATGCCGTTTTTATTTATCTTAAATCTTTCTTTTATCCAATCCAATTTTAAATAACCTTGATATATATTATTTTTGGGAGAGTCTAAAGACCCGCTTCCATTTCCAATGTAACCCCCATATCAGAAATTCTCAAAAAGCAAGGACATTAAAAGTGAGGGAGACGGACAGAGAGTGACAGAGATAGACACAAACCGATCAGAATTTGGTAACAGGGGAAATTGCGTGCGAAAAACGCGGTCAGCCTAAAAGCGGGCAATAGTATTTGACAGTTTTTATTGGCCATGGTCAAGGGGAAAAACGCTGAAAAGTGCGATGGAAGGGAAAATTGCGAAAAACGTGGAAACGGCAGGGATATTGTGCACGAATTTTTTTCCAACATTTTACGAATTTTTCATTGAACTTCCATTCCTGGATTTTGCTTCTTCCCCTCCCTTTGTTTCAGAGTTTGTTGTCAGCTGTCGGTCACTTGGCAGTTAATTAAAAACCATCAATTATGTGAGCCAGCAAAATTTTCCAACACGAAAAAAGTGTCCGAAAAGCTGAAAAAAAAGTTGGTGAACATTTTTTAATTTATGTTAATTTCAGACAGGAAGCTTCAACCCGCCCACACTTGGGGGCTGCTTCTTTTAATTACACCCATGATATTAATCTGCTTAAGTGACCACAAAAATGTTGACTTTCACCCCCACGCAAAGGGAAAAGGGAGGGGGGAAAGGGAAGAGGGCCTGAAGCCTGAAGAGAATGCCACTTTTAATTGGGGGACCTCTAGCAGCGTTTATTGTTAACAAGTTGGAACAAAAAAAATGCAAACTGAGCGCAAAAAAAAGTTTCGCTAGCATTGCGAGTCCTTCTGGCAGCCAATCTCCTCTGAAAAGCACCCACCATCTGCTTTTTCAGCAGTGTGTAATTACGCTTGTACAACATGGCGTATGCTTAATAATTTTCGGCACTTTTTCCTCTGTGTGTGCTTAACTAATTTTTTCGTTATTTTTTTATGGGTTGATGATGGATAAGTACTGTCAATGGTGGTAATGAGGAATATGATAGTTTTTCACAGCTGTGAAATGGATAGAATGAGATGGATTGTTTTCGGTCTAGGTTTAGAAACCTATAATAAACGGAATAGGAAGTCAAAAGCACGAAAAATAAAATCCCAGTTTATTTCTTTGTCAGGTGTTCTAACAAAGCAAGTAATAAACGTTGCTTATTTTTATCTATGTGCAGCAGTGAAAACTTTTTCTAATTTCTATATAATAGTCTGTGGGTTTTTAGCGGCTTGGTAAACCCCTGATTGGGCCGAAAACCCCTGCCAGGGCTTTCCAATTTCAGATAAGCCCTTTGGTAGCGACCGCCCGCATTGCGCCTAAAACAAATTCGATGCAAATTCAAGTTGGACGCCATCCAACATTTGCCGCATTATAGACAGACGACTACGACTCCCCGGCAAACAGCGAAATTGCAATTCAATTCAATATTCCAAACTAGACAGAGAGAAATGTGGCTTGTTTCGTGATTTGGCACTTTAACCTCGCAAAGAGGCAGCAACAAAATTTTAAATAAAAAACCGAAACGAAAACAACTGACAAAAAAGTTTGGCTGGGATCCACAGCGGAAGCGATATAATAGAAAAAGATGGCAGAAATATTTTTTCCATGTTTTCATTTTTTACTGGTTTACCGCCAGAGTATTCGAGAGGGCTAAGGGGAAGGTAGTCACAGCCTAGAAATCGAAAAAAGAAACTTATAGAAACGACAGTCGTCGTCTCAACGTAACAACAAACGGAAGGTGGCAATTTAATAAAATGCTTGAGTGAGTCGCCGAGTTTTGTTTCCTGCTTGGCTCACGCTGCTTTTCCCTCTTCCTACTCCAAATTTTCCTCTTTTCCGAAAGTTGTTCGCAAAAGTGTTGCATACTTTTTGGGAGGCGGAAATCGCTAAAGAGAACAACCCTCTGATTGGTTTTCTTTCCCTACTTTCCTATTGCTATTGTTATTCTTGATTCTTCGACTGGGTTGTATAATACATTTAAAATTCCTTCAATAGAGTGCTTTAGTCAAAGGCTTGAAGTAGCGTGGGAATCGAGCAGCTGCCTTGAAAAACAACACGGAATTTATATTAGTTCCATAAGTACTTTTCCAAGGAAAGCATTATGGGGATAATAGGTTTTGTAGATAATTTATGGAGCAAATTTAAAAATTTCAAACTGGTGTATCAAATTACCGAACTGGTGGTCCTATATCATGAATTTATTTTGTAAGGCTGTTGCTGCGATTCAACAAAGTCAGTGCAAATTGGGGTCCATAAAATATCCAATCAATTTTTCCCACAAAAGAGCTCACCCATTCAAATTTAACATTCCGGATTAAAGTGAATCAAACAATCAAATGAAATTATCCCCAACGATTTGTTTACCTTTGATCTTTCATCACAAATTCAATCAACGATTGCAGCTCTCACATAAACCCTCAAACCCACAAAAAGTTATTTCTTGAAAAATCCCCCTCTGCCATAAATACCGAACAAATGACTTCTCATTTCCACTTAAATTGAAGCAAAGGGAAAGGAAAAATTGCATTCAAATTTTATGACACTCTGCCACTCCGAAGCTTTCTCTGTGACCCTGGGCTAGAAAACCCTTGGCGGAAGGGGAGGAAACCCAGAAGGACATAAATACCTCAAGGAAAAGGCGAAGAAAGGCGGGGAAACAAAGAGAATATTGTCTAGGGGCAAAGAAGTGCATAATAACAGCGATTTGCATTAGGTTAAGTAAAAAAAGGATGGCAAACGAGACAACAGCAGAATGTGCAAGCAAATCAAATGAGTAAGCAAAAGTGGAAAAGGCGAGAAAATGGGAAGGTGAGAAAAACTGCAACGTGGTAATCAGGGCAATTTACATGCAAGCAAACTTCAAACAGACAACGAGGAAAAGCGGAAAATGGGGGCCACGAGTCGCGAACGATGTCAAGTTTTGAAGGATTATGAGGAAGAGAGATGATGAAAGAAGAAGCTTCTAGGGGTGATATTAAATTTTCAAATATTCCACAATTTCCCTTTTTGGTATGCAGAGAAAAGAAGGAAATAGTTGAAAATGTTAAGTTTAAAACATAAGTTTGTTTACTCTCACAATCAGCTTTTTAAAAAAATACATATCTTTAAAAAAGTAATCTTAACATTAAATAAAAAATAGTTTAAATATGATATTTCTATCCACTTATTTCTTCTTTAACTGTTTAAAAGTTGAATTTAAAAGTTGAATTGTAAAAGAGAGAAAGATCTTTTAACCAATAAGTTAGTATAATGAAGAAAATACTTACTTCATTTTCTTCAACTTATATATTCCGTCACCACCAAGGAGATCAAAAGTGAGAGCAACTGACATCTTCATGTTTATTCCATAAAAATTCGGAGCAGAACAAAAAATACGAATGCATTGCCCTAGAGTTGCAACCGGAGCAGGAAATGATGGTGGGTGCTGTTGTTGTCGTGGAAAAGACGCAGGAACATATGAATTTTTCCCCACTGCATATGAAATCGATATGCAAATGTTGTGCGAGGTTTTCCCCGGCGTCAACAACAGCTACACAAAAAAAAAGGAAAACCACGATGGCGGCTCCTTCTTTCTGCTATGATGATGATGCACGTATTGTTTGCTTGTAAACATGATAAAAATTCAAATTAGCCATAATATATGGCAAGTAAGGGGAGAGCACACATATATGAGTCTTCATTTTGTGGCGCTGAAATGCAAAATGTGCCAAGAAATTACGGCAAAAACTTTTACCATGGGTGTACGAAGGAACCTTGAACAAATTACGTATTGTATTTGCATTTCTCGTTCTTTGGCTGGTGTGGAAATCAATGAGTCAACAAGAAGGTGAAAGTTGAATGCAAACACTTCACACAGATGAAATCTATAATTGGGAAGGAGCTTGCTGAGCTCGTCACATTTGATACAATATTTTGACTGGCTTTAAAAAAGTAAAAGTAATGATTGGGACCTAAAATTATTTATTTAAGTGTTGATAATAATTGTACTTTTTTGATTTGAGTAAATCAATTCATTTTCCGTATTCCCCTTATAGTAAAAATATAAAACTTAACGTACAAATCAAATATTTTGGGTATACAAAGTAATGCTATTTAAAAATGTTCCCACCTGAAATGCGTGTCTTTAAAGTTCTCAAAACCAACTTTTTGTGAACAACAAAGTGCCACTGCTAAATGTGTTAATTAACTCATTAGCATCAGGTGCTACGGCAACAACAACTACGATGGGCGGCGGGTAGATGCGAATGAGCAAAGAATATACTCACATTCATCAAGAGGTGGATGAGAATAAAAAGTAAACTAAGCTAAACCAACATTAAAAGTCACTTAAAAGAGCTCAACTCAAAGCCCACAATTTCACAACTCAGCAAAAGTTGCTAATCAAGTTTTTCCAGCCGAGAATCATCTTAGTACGAGATGA